TTTCGGTTACACTTTATTTCGATAGTCCACTTTAGACATTCTATTAACTATAAGTAACTTTGTAACTACATGTCAACTAATTCTCATTAATTTGCATCTACATGTCTACTAACTCTCAGAGTAGACTGTTAGGGTAGGTTTAGGGTTAGTAGAATGTTTACAAAGAAAGTGTTAGAAGATATTAAGCAGACAGTCTACTAATACTCTACTAACTGCTAGTTGACATGTAGTTGCAAAGTTACTTACTGTTAATAGAATGTCTAAAGTGGACTATCGAAATAAAGTGTTACCGAAATCACACTAGGCAACTACCTTATATCTGCATAAATTTTATTAAAACAACAAAATGTGTTTTATTCATTTAAAGGTCAAATGTGTTTTGTGGCTCCATGCAAATTTTATTTGGTGGCAATAAAATAGAAATCCATTGGGATCTCCCTGTGCAGATTTGAATCCCATAACCATTGGTTGATAAATGCGTTCATGGTGCAGAAGGGGTTAATTAGCTGGTTTGAAAAACAATCATTGTTTATGATTATGTGTCTGGCCATTGGGCTACACTGTGTAATATTGTTCTACCACTCCATAACGCAGAAGGGATTCATAAGAAATTGAATGCACAGAAAATACAAACAAAACCAAGTTTTACTAAACTGAACATTTTGAAAAAATATTGCATTCAGTGGTCTTATTCTTTCCTATTGCGCTGATTGTCATAGCAACACCAAAGTTTATGGTGGGTACACATGAGAGCTCTAGGGCAGAACAAATCCACAGCTGAGTACAAGAAGATTCCAGTGAAGCATTCTGCTTTATTTTCTTTATCAGCACACTATTTTTGCCATTTTTCAAAATATAATTGTGAGGTGAGATGAATGAATGAAAAATGGCTCTTATCACTAATAAACATGCCATGCTGTAGAACTAAAACGATCTCAAATGCTCACAGTCTAGAGCAGGGGTGTCCAATTCTGTTCCAGCCCTGCTCTGACACACCTATCAGTAATTATCAAGTGTGTATATACTGTATATATATGTGTGTGTGTGTGTGTGTTTATATATATGTGTGTGTGTG